GATTAGAAAATAGAAGTGGTTGACGATTATTAAGTCTAGGTACACAAAAGTTAATCTGAGAAAGAAGGTTACTGTCCTGAATAATGCCATGTAATAATTTATATAAAAAGGTTAAAGAGAAGTACTTCCGTCGATCTACAAGGGGTATTAAATCGAATTCAGCTAGCAGTTGTTTCTGTGGGTAATTACGGACTGGATATATCCCATGTTTCCTAAAGTATACGTACTTACAAAATCTTCTTTGGATATTTTCTAATGCGGAAATATGTATATTATAATATGGATCCCATACTAACGTACAGTACTCCAAAATAGAGCGAACATAAGCGAAGTACAATAAAAACATGCAATCCGTATTTTTGAAATCTTTTGTAGTGCGTATGACAAAACCTAACATCTTCAGAGCTTTACAGTTAATATTATTAATGTGAGGTACGAACGACAGTCTAGAGTCCATAATGATACCTAAATCTCTAAATTCAGTACATCTCTTAATCTCTACTCCTCCAATATTATAATTATATTCTATAACATTAGTTTTCCTGTTATATGACACAATACAGCACTTGTTAATATTTATGTCTAACTTGTGTATTTGACACCAACGAATTATTGCATCAAGAACTTTCTGCAACTTTTCACAATCCTGAAGATTATCAATTATTTTTGCTAATTTAATGTCATCTGCATACAAAAAAATACGACAATCAAAGTTTAGACATTTTACCACATCATTAATATAAATAATGAATAATAAAGGTCCTAAATTGGATCCTTGACAAACACCAGAATGGCATTCATACACTGGTGACCTATAACCTGAATATTCAACATATTGCTTTTGGCCACTTAATATCGATTTAAAAAGATTAACTAAACTATCGCATAATCCGAAATTATGTAACTTTTTCAATAGAATTGGGTGGTTTACAACATCAAAAGCTTTGGATAGGTCCATGTATACTGTATCTACCTGTTGTGTGCAGTTTAAAGAATCTGAGACAAATTGTGTAAAATTGCATAAATTCGTACATGTTGATTTACCTCGTACAAAACCGTGTTGGTGATCGGTTAACTGCTGTAATATATGGCTATAAACGTTATCAAACAATATGATTTGAAATAACTTTGCAAAGTTTGGAATAATTGCAACAGGTCTGTAGTTTGTTATCTCAAATTTAGAGGCGGATTTGAAGATAGGACATACCCTTGCAATCTTCCAACTTTCTGGGAAGACCTCCGTTTTTAAAATTAAGTTATAAAGATGTTGGAGGGGCGTGATAAGACAAGATATACAATCACGAATAAAAAAAGCCGGAATAGAATCAGCACCCATTGTAAAATTTGCTTTGATTTTCCGCACACATTTAGAAATATCCTTTTCATTTATAACAAAATTGTGTAAAACAGGTACATTTAAATTATTATCACAGATGTTATCACAGTCACATTTCGTATCACATTTCTTATTATCACACTGATTTGAACTTACAGATGAGTTACTATTATATTGTTTAAACACGCTGCTGAATAAAATGGCGAAGTTATTGACAATGTCCTGAGGATTGGCAAGTTTTTTCTCACCATGCGACATGACTCCGGGAATTCTTGACGATTTGTTTTTCTCATTTACAAAAGACCATAGCTGAGAGGGATCGTTTCTAATTTTCTCTTCCGCAGAATTTAAAAAATTCTGGTATTCTTCCCTTGCTGCACTTCTTATTCTTTGATTTAATTGCCGCGCCCGTTCTTTGTGTGACAAAACCTTGTATTTTTTATACATTTTCCAATGATACTTCCTTTGTATTATTGCTCTAACAATGTCGGTATTAAACCATACAGGATAGACGTTTTTTTGTTTGTTTATTCGTTGAGGAACGTATATAGAAAACAATTTAGTAATAACATTAGTTAGATATTCGCAACCCTTATTTATATCTTCAATTAATAACATTTCATTCCAATTTACTTTTGATATAGCTTCATATAATCCTTTGAAATCAGCTTTTCTAAAATTAAATGACTTCTTATCTGTTTGTGCTGGTTCAAATTTGGTTTCATTTATGACGTTGATAAAAAATTTCATTAATAATGAAGGATGGTGACTGTCCTCTTTTACCAGAGGTTCTATATTGTGCTCGATGGAAGAGCTTATAGCGTCCGATGTTACAATTGTATCCAGTATACGGCCATTAGCATTTAGAACGCGATTATGTTGTATTAAGTTGTTAAAAGTTAAAAATGAAACAAACGCATTATACAAATTTGTGGGATTGCGATTATCATATAAGCATGCGTACAGTTCTGGTATGTTAAAATCACCGGCGATGATACAATAATTTGACAAGTCGCAACAGTTTTCAAGATGATCCAGGAGAGCTCCATAGTCTTCAATGGGGGTTGACGGAGGAATGTACAAATTGATTATCAGTACGGGGACATTTTTGATATGCATTTTGACTATTAGTAAATCGACTTGTTCCAATGGTGAGTTCGTGGATATGACTTCGGCTGAATACGTGTGAAAAATGGCTGTTAGTACACCTCGACCCCTTCTTGCATTAGAGGATCTGAAAACATGGTAGTTGTTGCACATTATTTCACTTGACTTTATCGAATCCGTTAGCCATGTTTCCGTTAACATAATAATGTCAAAATTTACAGTTGCAGAATTAATGTAGAAAATATTTAGTTTTGAATTTAAACCTCGAACATTTTGATACACAGCTCTTATTTCAAATTTGCTATTACTTATTCGTTGAGCTGAATCTAGTTTTTTACAATTTTTGGCATTCCATTCGTATACTTTAACTTGATATCATTTTCACCTCCATCCTTTCTTCGTTTAAATTCAGATCTCACCGTATAAGCTAAGTTTCTTTGACGAACAGTAAGGTCTCTATTCACGTATATATTATTCTTGGTTCGATAATTTCTCAGTACATTTGAAACATCTTCCAAGGAATTTAATGTAATCAAAAGAGGTCTAATTTTATTGTCAACTCTTTTTCCTAAACGCATACTCTTAACAATTAACGTTACATTTACCACATCTTTTCCAATAATATCAATGAATTTTTTACTATCCTCATTCCTGTTATCAATCTCATTCGCATTTGCGGATTCTGGTAAATTATATATTATCACATTGTTGGCACGTCTTTGTCGGTCATATATTTCTGATATCACATCTTCTTGATTTAGTTGATTATTAAGTTCATTGGTACCCACAGGCGTTTCTTTGCCCTCGATGTTTTTACCTTTTTTCAACTCAATAATCTCTTTCTTTAATTGAACTACCTCAGTTTTTAACTCGGCGTATGATTCTAATTGTTTCTGCAGTTGATGAATTGTGACTTGAAAATCATTAATTTTCTGGACAATATTGCAGTTATTGCAAAAATAACGCAATCTACGGCGTCCTGATTTTAAACATTCAGCCTCCGCTCGAGAAATATCTGCACAGTTTGTGTGATATACTTGACCACAAATATCGCAAGTTACACCTCCGCCATCATTACACAAGATATCGCACTTGGCACATGGAACAGACATAATTAACTAAAAAAAATGATCACCACTATTAGTAACAATTTAGAGCTCTTAGCTGAAGCGTGCGTCTATAGCGGACGACACCTTCAGTTCATTTTCACATATTAAAACAAAAAGGCAAAATGAACGCATCACTAAAAATGGTCTAAATTTATTTATGCAGAACTTCCCTCATCCTTAAGTACAATCGAACAAATAGTTTTTTCGTACAATTATAAAATTTGATTTTGCAAAATTTTACTTTGATCACCCCTAAAAGTAAAAAATATGTAGGTATCTAATAACAATGTAAAAAAATATTAGACCGATGGAAATGTTGGACAAAAAAATTTGTAAAGTAACTGTGATAAAATTCGCGGCGAATTCATCAACCACGACTACAGAAGTAAAGAATATATTATTTTATAAAATTTAAATAACTTTTACTGCGTAAAATAATAATGGAAGTCATAAAATTGTTGGTGGGGATATTGGACAAATTTTGCTTAGCGTTTTACTACACGATACTGTTAAATCACATAAAAAATTGACAATAATCGGTCCAGTAGTTTCGAAGATTATTTGTCTAATAAAAATCGACACAGACGACAGACAGATAGAAACGCGAGACCTACTTTTTTTATAATTATGAAGTCCTGCTTATAATTTCTGATGTAATAAAAATATTAATAATAGGGAATAAGAAAAATTATAGTTGTTTAATAGAGTGCAGACAACTTACCTGCCTTGGCAACGTTGGCAAATCAATAAAAATAAATCGAATAAAACGTAAATAGGTTAAATTGTTTACTAGGAAAAGATCTATATAAAAACTATGAAGCACTTTGTTATGATGGTAAACACGAAAATGAAATTTTATTAATGTTAGGCCAAAAAGTTTTTAACAAAAGTTGCAGATAATTGTATTATCGACAAAAATGTTTATTTCAGAATAGAGAATTAAACAACGTTAAAAGGCATATTTATTACAGTTGTAAAGCGTTGATTCGATTTTTATTTTCTCCGACTTTACATCTGTATGTCTTATTTATCTTAGCGCACGTCAAATTTTTTCATACTTTTTGGTTTTTTAAACTATTATTAAAATTTGCAGGTTTCTTCAGATATTTTGCAAATTTTGTTATTAAAAAAAAAATAGAAATGTGTGCCTGTGTGATTGTGATTACATATTTATTTATTTTTTTTTAGATTTCGGGGAAGTTCCTAGGTCGAGGATTTGTCGATTTGAAAGTTTAAGCAGTGAATTTCATAATAATGACAAATTTAATTTTGTAATATAATTTCAACATTATTCTTAAATGAAAACATTAAGTTTGTATTGTATTCTCTAAACAATGCTTTGTTTTTGTAAAAATCAGCAAGCTAATCAGAGCGCAGCAAAGTTTCTAATTTCGCTCTAGTACTGCCAACAACGTAAAAATAAACGTAATAAAATAATAAAAACTCACCCTCACAGCACGAATATCTTCCCTCAGCTGTTTATTATCCTCCTCCAGCGTTTTTATTAGTTCTTCCTTTATCTTGATCTCTTCTTCATACTCCTTGATCTCTCTACTGCTAGGAACTGCTTCAATAACCACTTGCTCGACATTTTTATTTACATCTTGATCTTGGGGCTGTTCTTCAAAAGCAACCACCGGCTCCTCTTCCTCCACTTCCCGTGGCTTTTCTCCCGGAGAAGAAACAGACTGCACTTTACTTTCCTCGCTAAAGTCCTCACTGTACGTATCGCTTTCGCTATCATCATTAGGAAGCGGACTCACACTTTTCGGAGTTGGTGTAGACTCTTTCGAATCATTTGAATTCAAATCAGTTATATTCTGTGACGTTTTTGACCTCTGACTTAGTTGTTCAAAACTCTTTGAACTTTCCATGTAAATTCGCTCCGCTTCCCGCATAATGTCGTCGATACTTCGCTCTTCAGTCGATCGCTCGTAGGGTCCCAGAGGACTCTGGGCCGCTACTCTGTTAATTTCTTCAATTATACTTCCCACATCTACTTCTGTGTGGTCTTCGCGGTTGCTGTTTAGAATGTTTTGTTCTTTTTCTAAAAATTCTGCCAAGGAACTTGAAATATCCAAGTCGAGGCGGGGTACGTAGAGGTTATTCGCGTTTTCTTCTTTACTTGTGTCTTTATTTTTATTTTTTAGCCACCAGAATGTCGAGGGGGGTTTCGTTTCCATGATTTTATTGATTACGCAGAAGTGTTAACGATTTGGTTGAGTGTGATGGTGTGAAAACAGCGAAAACGATTAAACAACTTTTTAATTTCGCGTCGAAATCTGTTTACACTGTTTGACAGATGACAGCTGTTTGTTGTTGTTTGAATTTCCAGTTTGGTCAATACCAATCCACGGAACGCAATATCACTAGAGACATTTAAATAGAATATGTCGTGTGGACCACGGCACGAAATGACAGTTTCATTTCAACTTTAAAATATTTTAGGTTATCTGACTGGTTGTCAGAAACACGTATATGTCAAAATTGTTGTCAAATTTATCATGAACGTTCGTCTCAAAGGGTTTTCCAGTTTCCTAAAAAAATTGCAGCAATCCACTTGACTCCACTATTTTCTGAAAATGCACTGCAGTTTAATTAATTGTAATAATATCGCAAATGATGGATATCGTTTATATAATTTTCCCACATGTAAGACGACCATTGCATTTTGGAAGGAAAGTTTGAGGCGTCTAAATTGGAACACTGGTTCTACCTGCATTTTTAGAATTATATTTTAAGGTGGACTTTGATCAATAAGATTTCGTCTGCGACTTAAATTTAAAAGAAAACGTTTTACCTAAATATGTATTTTCAAGTTAAAGATTTTAAAGATAAAACACCATTTAAAATTGTTAATCCGCAACAAACAATTAATGAACAAAATATCAAAATTTAAAATTTAATAGCCACTGAAGAAGAATTATTAGCGCAAATCGAGTGTTTAGCAAAGTACTACCAAAATTTGTTGCAGTAGAAAGAAAAGGAAATTTGTTGTTTAAGCGAAAAAATTAACAGTTTGAATTTTAAAAAATTAAAAATTAATGACAAACTGGTGATTTCTGGTAAATTTGGAGTGAACAAAGAAGTAATTACAAATGCACTTAAATGAAAAAAAATGAGGAGGAGGAGTCTCGAGACTGCAGAAAAAGCAGTGTCCATTAAATTTTCTTGTAGCTTTTCAGGCTATGAATCTTTATTAAAATGAAACTACTTATTGCCATCTTTGCGTACGGAAAATAGAGCATATCAAATTCTACCCGGGTATATTAGACGAAATTTTTTATTCTTTAAATTTAAAAGTTAAAGATTTTAAAGATTATGAAAAAGACTGTTTATATTTAGATGATACGGTTTTAACATCTGGAAAGTAATACTGCACAGCTTCTTCTTCTATACTAGGGTATGAAACGCTGGAAAACTTTTCAGCGATAGCCATTCATTCTTTAGTTACGTAACATGATAGGTGGAATATTGCGGCGGTGACATTTCGGCTATTAGCAAATCTAATTTACGTGAATACAAAAACACTTTGAAATTTTTGCAAGAAATTATTGTTTTATTTGCAAATATCAGTTTTGGGAAGGGGGGCTATTGGAAACCAAAACAGGTTTAACTTTGTCAACAAAAACTATTTTAGATCTTCAGGAATACTTTTTAAACGTTAGAGGTTATACATTTTTGTGTAGGTACGTCAAGATTTTCACAAGATGGGTTAGGAAACATTTTTAGTCAAATACGACTGAGACAAGAAATACCAAATGCACTTCAGTTTAGGTCACTTCTTAAAAATTTATGAGTACTTAATTCAATGCTTCAAAAAATGCTGGTATAATGGGGGTGGCTATATTTTGGTAAGAATTAGACGAAATTTAAAGTCTGTTAATTGTCTACAAGCAAGTATTACCAACAAATTTTCGAGGCTCGGTACGAAATTCGTTTAGTTAAGAGAATGTAAAGTTAATTCATTAACATATCCAACAGAAATTGTATTTAATTTGTTTTTAACTATGGAAAAATATTTGAAAATTTAAAGAAGGTATCTAATTCCTGAACAAAATGTTGATTTAAATACAAATACATTTATTAAGGCACAAATACATGAAAATAAAAAAGAATTGTACATATGGCCGTGTCAGAAAACTTAAGTATCCAAAAATTCTTCTGTCGAGTAAGAATACGCTGCATTTCTTAAAATAGATATTACCTTTGATTTGAAATTACTAAAACCTAAATTCTCACTATCAATACCGAACCTCCTTATTTTATTAAAACAAATAATACCAATATACGTATTTAATTAATTAATTAAATCATCATTGTTACGTAAATTATAGTTCTGTATATCTCGCACACGTTGAAATTGACAGACATTTTGTTTAATATTTAGCACTAAACTTAGAATGATGGTGCCGTTAACAAACCATATTCTTTGAAAATTAGTCGACAAGAGGTTCTAGGATATAACTTAAACATGGCCTTAATTATCCATTTCTGTGCCCTAAAGACATTATTTAAATAAGCTGAGGCTCCCCAATACAAGAGAGCGTAAGATAATCTCGACTGAATCGATGCATAATAAACCTTATACAGGGTGCCGCATCCAAGTCTGGACATAGGGAATTAACATGGCAAATTGGTTTTTAGTTTATAATATCTCCCCAGATCACTTTAACGCTATAATTGAGTGATGCCTTTGTGGAGGTCGAAGAGGGCTATCGGCCAGTATATTTTTCAAATCGTTGTATTGCGCTTATTTACTGTAAAAAAGGTTTTAAAAACCGTATTTTGAAATTCGCGCCCGATCCGAATTGTCGCGAAATGTTCCGTAGCACTGTCGAAGTTCGGAGATCGCGTCTTTGGATTAAGCATGCAAAATCCAAATGTCGAAATGAAATTAGAAATTATACTCAGAAATCAACGAACAACTCAAACTGAATTATTTTATCTAGTATGATGAATATTGTAGGACAAATTAAGCAGAATAAATGCACAAACTGATACATTTATTCGTCATAGGGCGCGACCCCGTCAAACAAGCCGTCTCGAACTACACTCAAGCCGTATCCAAAAAGCCCGAGATGAAGACTTCGAGCAGCTGGCCTTCCTCAAAATCCCATCGGCAGCATTGTGACATGTCCTGGGAGCCCGTCAAGCTAGGAATATACTCATACTGCCTGACTCACTAATCACTGAACGACTCAAATTGAATTATTTTATCCAATATGACGATTATTGTAGGTCAATTTAAACGGAATAAATGCACAAACTGCACAAAATATTTTATTAATTATTTAGTAATTGATAAGATAAGACTGATTTTGGCACTTTTGACATGTTCGACCACTTTTAAACTATTTTCGAAAAATTTTTTTCTGTTTTTTTATTTTCTTTCTTTTTTCAATGTTCATATTTTATTTTATAATCTTTCGTTTCTTTAACTTTTGAATTACAATTTTTCTAGTTTTCATTTCAAATGTGTAACTAATAATTATGTCTTAAAACATTTTTCACTTTTACAATTTTAGGATCTTGAACTCCGTTTTCTTGGAGGATCTGTCGTTTGCCAAAAAAGTTTTATCTTACTCAGTATTAGCTAAGATAAGACAGATTTTGGCAAATGACATTCTATAAGAAAATGAAGGACGGGTGGGCGGAGCTGGTACTTGCTAAGAGAAGACTGATTTTGGCAAATAACATACCTTCCAAGAAAAGAGAAGGTGGGTGGGCGGGGCTACCACCTGCTAAGATAAGAGTGATTTTGGTAACTGAGATATCCTTTAAGAAAAGAAAGGGCGGGTGGGCGGGGCTAGTACCTTTTACGGTAAAACTGATATTGGCAAATGACATACTCTTTAAGAAAAGAGAGGGCGGGTGGGCGAGGATAGTACCTACTAAAATAAGACCGATTTTGGCAAATGACAAACCCTCTAACAAAATAGAGGGCAAGATTCTAAAATTGAAAAAGTGAACAATTTTTTAAATTATAATTATTTGAAATGAAAACTAGAAAATTGTAATTCAAAAGTTGCAGAAATTTGTCAAAATCGGTCTTTTTTAGCAGGTATACTAGCCCCGCCCATATGCCCTCTATTTTCTTAGAGGGTTTGTCATTTGCCCAAATCGGTCTTATCTTACCAAGTACTAGCCCGTCCACCCTCCCTCTATTTTCTTAGAGGGTATGTCATTTGCCAAAATCAGTCTTATTTTACCAAGTACTAGCCCCGCCCACCCGCCCTTTCTTTTCTTACAGGGTATCTCATTTGCCAAAATCACTCTCATCTTAGCCGGGTGTAGCCCCGCCCACCCACTCTCTCTTTTCTTAGAGGGTATCTCATTTGCCACCATCAGTTTTGTCTTACCCAGTACTAGCTAAGATAAGACAGATTTTGGCAAATGACATTCTATAAGAAAATAACGGCGGGTGGGCGGGGCTAGTACCATCTAAGATAAGACTGATTTTGCCAAATGGTATACCTTCTGAGAAAATAAAGGGTGGGTGAGCGGGGGTAGTTCTTGTTAAGATAAAGCTGACGTTGGCAAATGATATACCCCCTAAGAAACTAAAGGGCGGGTGGGCGGGGCTATTATTTGTAGGAGAAGACTGAACAATATTTGGATTAGTCACTAGAATGAAGAAGGAGTGGGAGTCGGGCAACTGCTTGCTTATAAGGCTCTACAGAAAACATGTAAACTCAGGTCCGCCCACCCATCCCTACTTCGCTTTGATTATTCATTTTATTAGGTCTGAGACGGAGTTTGAAATGCTATTGTTTTGTCGTGCCCAAATAGTTTTGACCGCGGCCGAGCTTTTGGACACTAACAAAATTATTTATTTGGGTGTAGGCCCATTTCCTTGGAAATGGAAGAGCTAAACTGCATGTAGGGGGAAGAAGTAATAATTAAACATTTATAACATTTTTATACGTATATTAAAAGAAAGCATAATAAGCATGTCAAAAGAATAATCGAGTAAATGTGTAAATAATCAACAGAAAAATAAAACATAAAATAAATTCACACACATAACACGAAAAAACAAAACAACATGCAAAACATTCTTCTAAAGCGCTACGCAATTATATTCCACTAATAACACTCTTAAAATCTATGAACATAACCCACATTTTTAATTAATAAACTTAATCCTAGAAAAATCAGCATGCAAAAACACTAAAAATTAATTCGGTAAATCCATAATTAAATGCGATACCTTCTAAACAACATTAATATTACGAGCATGATAAATAACCAAAAAAATAAACTACTAACTACTAAATGGAATCATTACTTAATTATTTAAATAAATTGCGATTGGGCATTTATATATATTAATTAAATCATGAGAACAACTAAAATAACGGTAAAAATCATGCACTTAAATCTACGACAACTTATGAATATAAACATGTAAAAAGAGAGATAAATAAGTTTTCACATACATCGATTAGCTAAATATGCCGAGCACAACAATCGTTCACGAGAAAAATTGATGGTTACAGGACAGGTAGATACATGTAAAAATAAACAGTCATAATTTATACATGCAGTCAAACATTGGGACGTTAGTACCATAAATGCGCTAAAATACAATGAGACGATTAAAATAAAGTATAATGTGAGAAATATAGCAACATAACATATACTATAGCAAAATAATCAGAGAACGGAGTCATATTTAAACGGCAAAAATTCAATATAAAATAATCAACAGCAAGAAAATTAGATTAAAAGGTTTCAATTCGGGAACTTCCCAAAAACGCACATAAAATATTCATGTCGCAAGCAAAGAATTAAATCGGCAAATTTAAAGAGATATTGGAATTATTATTATAAAAGCAAATGGTAAAAATCAGAAAAATCCTCTCCAAAAAAAAAAACGCATATAAAATATTTATGTCGCAAGCAAAAGAGTTAAATCGGCAATTCACAGAAATTTGGAATAATTATCATAAAAACGAACGGTAACTTATCGAAAAATCCTCCCCAATAATCAAGAACCGACGCAAGGCTAAACGTACCACCTGCAAACGGGAACATATGGAAGCACTAAAGATTACTTTCGGTGCCGGCGCTAACTGTTCACACCCAACGTAACGGAGAAAACGCATAAATTAAACGCTACACATGTACGATTCGAACTCGAGAATACATGACGAAAAAACGGAAAGCAAGATAAACTAAGAATGACTAAAAGGTAGACTTACACAGCTGCAGCATTGAGACTTTTTCTATCTTCCTCTCGGGCTCAGCAAATTCTTCTAAGTTCGGATTTCTTCAAAATTCAGCAAAAATTAATAAAAATCTCGACACCGGTTTGGGCAGAGCCTTCGGCGGCAACTGGAAACTTCTACTTCTACTCTCTTAAACCGTTTTCGGCGCTACTGCTTATATAGGGATTTTTACTCATTATTCTTGTCTCTCGTGACTTTAGTGGACTATATTTCTTCATGATTAGTGTATTACTCGGTACGGGATTTTAGGTTTTATTTCGTTGTGTTATAGGGTTTAGCTTTTAATTATGGTTCCGCGACTGACGTTTTTTATTGGTTAGTGTGTCGTATATTTTCGGGTTTTTTCAACTTGCGTCATGCTTTTTATGTCGTCATCGCTACATGTGGTTAGCTTGTTGTAACTATTTTTAAAGAGGGCGGTTTTTTCTGAGGTTATTTATGTGTCTGGGTTTCGTTTGCAGCTGTTTTAGTTTGGATACAATTTTATATGAAAGTAATTGGGATTGGCGATGTTTCTGGCGTATTATTTTGTACAAGTTATTTGCAATGTCTGGCAAGCGCAATGTTATTCGCAATTTGCGAATACGCGAATTTTGTTCCTGCATTTGGGGGTTGATAGTTGATTTTGTTTATCTATTTGAATGGTACTATATGCTATTAGAACATGCGTGTTAATTAATTAAGATTTGCAAATTTTCTAGTTATGTTTTGAGGGTTTGTTATTAGTCTTTTTAGTTACAATTTTCTCGTGAACGAATTTAGTGACGGCTCGTCACAGTTTGCTTATAAAAGACTCTTTAGGAAAAATTAAAATTAGCCCCGCCCACCGCTCGTTTTCTATTTCTTTTCTTCTGAAATAAGAAATAGATCTTATAGCAAATAGTAAATATAACAAAAATATTACGGTTAGCGATTTTTTTTCTTTTTTTAACACCCTAGGTTCTATTAGTTTCCATTCCCACTCTATAGAAATATTAATATAATATATTTAACCCTGCCCACCCACCCCTCCTTTATTCCAGTGAATTATTTTATCTGGACGGTGGGCGGGGCTAGTTCTTGCTAAGATAAGGCTGATTTTGGCAAATGATATACCCCCTAAGAAACTAGAGGGCGGGTGGGCGGGGCTAGTATTTGCTAAGATAAAACTGAACAATATTAGGAGTAGTCAGTAGAATGAAGAGGGATGGGTGAACAGAGCTACTCCGCCCACTTTCTTCCTCCATTTCACTGACTTATTTTATTTACGGTAAAATGGGAAATGAATTTCGTTTTGATAAGCGGTGGAATATAAGATTAAAAAAAAAATTAGGTTATGTCAGGCCAGCTTAGGTCACGTCAGGTCAAGTCAGGATAAGTCAGGTAAATTCAGGTCAGGTCTAGTTCCAATTAATTCCAGAATTATTACACTTCTACGTAACTCCTAATAAATTCTTTAGTTAACACAAACATCAATTAAACAAATAAATAAATAACTCAGTAAAAAATCACGCAGAGATAGAATTAAATTAAAAAGTTTGTATGGTTTATATTCTTTTAATATAGTGTAATACGGGTTTCCATCCTATATATACGCTGCTTCTTTCAATATTACTTTGGCAATAATTTTTTAACAAAAAATCTGCAATTTCACAGTTCATGCTAAAAAAGAACCTCAATTTTAATAGAATATTAACATTTTATTTTCAGAAATTATTTTCTGAATCAGTAACCCATTTAATTTCCCCATTTTTTATTTTGCTGAAACAGCCTTTTTAAAATCTGAAAATGTTGGTAAAAATTGTGAAAAAAATTCACTTTTCGTCTCAGAACCTTGAAAATAGTGATCAAAACCCAAAAAAGAGGGGGGTGGGTGGCGCTACTTTTTTTAATTTTAGTTTTTTCTGGTTGGCAAAATAAAATTCAATTTTCACCTATAAATAATAAGACCGTGAAGTGGTGAAGAATATGAAAATGTAGGTGTCGCATTTGCGCCTGGCAGTCGCCTGTCTATCATCTGTCTGTCGTCTGTGCTGATTTTTATTAAATAGAAACTACCACACTGATTGTTATCAAATTTTAGATGTATGCGAGGAGTATCGTGCAGATGGTAAAACACTAATCGAAATTTGTCCAATCATCCCCTGCAACAATTTCACCACGTCATCTCAAAATTTTGTTTAGTAAATGCCATAAAATAACATACTCCTGCATTTGTGTTCTATGAATTTGCCTTGATTTTGTTTATTACTACATATTATAATTTTTATTATGCAATATTTATCACAATAAAGCTTGTCTTTAATGACATAGTACCTACCATACGAAACGTGGGTCATGGGTCAGTGCCAATGTGATAGTTTTGCGTCTAAAGGGTCTGGAATTCGATCATCCATTATACTCATTTTTTTCTTTCCACTGTGACTGGTTTACCTAAAATTTCGCAGTCCATAATTTTATTGTCTGTAGTTTAAATTTGTAAAGGTTATTTTAATTTTATAATTTTTCGAAGAAGCTGATTTCACTGACAAGACATTGTTCATCATTTTAAAATTAAACCTAGTCTGTCCCAGGATTTTCAAAGAAAGTGTCAATTAACGAAGTTATGACTTTTGTGTGGAACTTTATCAATTTTTTTTTACTACATTACCCTGTTGTATCGTATTACGAAATTAACCAGAACTTACCAACAAGCTATTAAAACCCTTGTATATGTTACACAAAATGTTTATTTGTTTCTTGTACATAACAAAAAACTTGCTTAACCTGCTTCTCCAATAAACGTAAAAACATCGTTTTACATGTTTACATGATAATAACTTATTAAATAGTCGAGTTTCTAATTTACGATATTAATTAAAGTCAACAGTTCAAAAGTCCATTGTTTATTATGCTCTTTGAAATGCAGGTTACTTTTACTTGTACGAAACAGTTTTCAAGGTTCTAGAATTGCAGAATGCAGATAAGATCTGGTCCATTCCATTAAATAATAATGTACCTATTTGAAAAGATGTTTTTTGATAATTTGTGATCTATTATTCTATTATTTTCCCACTTTTGCTAACAGCTTAAATATGACATAATATGTTTCATAATTCACACCACCTAACATTAAATCTAATGCAGTATTTTTAGTTTTTATCAGTCAAGTACTGAAAGCTGAAAACTAGTCCACAGTTAATTTCTTGAAAGTTCCGTCAGGCCCAAATTCTTCAGTTGTCTTCACATCCTCTAGACGTAGATGCTCCAAAGCAACATTGTTGTAGTTTTGAATAAAAAAGCTTTTATGATTTTTGAAAACTTCATCCCATTGTTCTAAAATATTTTTTTGGGTTGAATTATATCAACTATTTAAAGATATCAATTTACTTAATAGATCTGGTATGTTACTGCAACTACCGCCATATTCGCATGGTAAACATTCTTTGGGAATTATATCGGACAGAGATGTTATGTCTGAATAAATTTTCATCTGAAATGCAAACATGTCATACGAAACAATATTACCAACATACAAAAAATTTTAATATATACTCTGTCGTAAAGTTTTCCCCACAACATCTGCCTCAACAGTGCTTGCAGTTTGCTAGCGAATCCTGGAAATAAATTAACACATTCGATTCCGCCTATCCGACATGAATATGCTTTCTGAAATTCAAAACTATAGTTAAGTAAGTTGCACAAATCTATAAATGAACTTACCTGAATAAATACGAAATGTTTAGCTGCTAGAATTGGATTAAACTTTAGGATATGTTTAGTAGAAAACCCTTCAAAATCAAATATATATCGTATTCCTATGCTCTCGTCAAACTGTAAATTTAGTTCTGCTATAGCTAAGCTTAAGTGAAGAAATTCTTCTAGGTCATATATATCGGGATTTACGTCCATTAATTTCATGATGATTACACGTTCAAGTTTAGGTGTCAATTTAGGCATTGGCAAGCACAAACTAAAATAATAAAACAAACATTTTTTTTCAGTCGTGGTGAAATAGCTAGACTAGAATTTTAGATACTGAAAACTTATGCACACTTTTTTGTATTTTGTGCTTGGAATAATTAGTTCATAATCTTTTATTACAATAATTTTCAATAAATTTACCCAAAGTGTTTGGAAGGAACAATATTTTCGAAGCCACGAATCATGTTTTGGTTCTGCCCTCGAAGTGTGAAATAATTATCTAACTTTTCTTTGGTGCGTTCTATACGAAATTTATTTTTTAATAGAACCTTTGTAATGAAATCATCTAAAAACATAAATAATTTAAAAACTGGATTTCAATTTGCTTTAAAAATTAAACCAGTAATAGTTGCTGGTAGATGCGGTACTTTTTCTTTCCATTCTTTAATTATTTCCACGTTCTCCTTAATTTGAGGTTCAGTGATGTTATACTGCTTCAGAATTTCTTTTTTTTCTTCTTCTGTTACTGGAAACAAGTTCATTTTACAAAAATAAGATTGTCAAGCTGGTTATTCACGGAGATACGGAACAAGTAGCCACAACACCAAAAATTGGATAGGGACCGAGAAAACTAAGTCTAGAAGTTTGTACGCTAGTATTTATTCTGACTAATATTTGCCCCACTCTCAACATTTCTCCCCACACAAAGTGGAAACAGCGAGCGACAGGACCAGCAAGTTCACTGAACATCAGAATAGACACTCCAAGAAGCGTAGAAATTAAACGTTGTTACAGTTTTTACTAATTTTGAGCAATTTTCGCGAGTATTGTGGTCACTTTAAAAAATGTCGTGTTAATTCAAACATCCCACCAAAATGTGACATGTGCACAAAATTGTAAACCCCGCGAAGGCATCAAAATTTGCCCTTGAACTGTCATCGTTAAAAAAATGAAACCCTACGTTGTGTTTTTTGTTTGTTTGGCGGAATGCTTTCACATGCCAAGTGATGAACTCCAACGTTGGAAAGGTGCCCTTGAATAAAATGCAAAATATGCAGGAATAAACTTTTATTCCTTCATCCTGGAGAAGGAAAAGCTGTGAAACCAGTTGCAAAAACCTTCTCTAGCTCGTAGGATCGATGGCTCGGATCAAGGCGATCGAGCTCGCCCGGTGTTCAGTGTAACGTTGTGTTGCGAGATTCACGAACTGCAAGAAATATCCATCTTCGTTGGGCAAAGGGTGTTACATAATTTACCGCATCATCCACGGCCTCGAGGAACTGCTAAGCCGCACCTGCTTATTCTAGGAAGAAGTATGTATCCCAGGTCAGAACGGAGTAAAAAAAGTTTTACGAGGCAACTTGCGTTAAAATATGTTGAAACATATCATTAACAGAAAACATACGGATTCTTTTACACAGTTACACGGATATAAATACGTTGCACATCCTCGCGATTTGAAAAAATTTTATCACAAGTAGTGAAGTGTTTTCTTTCCTATGCTGGCATTTTTTTAAACCGGAAGTAACTACTAATCCTAAAGTAGTATTTATATACTAACTGCTATTCGCTCTATTTTTCACTCCCTCTGTCTACAAGAAGAAAGAGGGGAGTAGGGGGATATAACCAGCATTGGTACTAAACAGTTCATAGTATTGTCAAATATCAATTTTTTAAAACTGCATAAAAAGCTAGAGTTGCTAACTATTACCTGACATGTGTTAAGTGCATTTTTAATAGCGTGATGATTTTTGGTATTTCATTATTATGATCCAATACAATTCAAAAATAATTCCTTATCTTGCATAATAAGAATTGAATATTGCTTTTAAGAATTACTGTTTTATGCTATCGTTCATAACGATAATAATAGCTTTTAATTGTAACCTGACATAAACTACGTGTGTAAAAATTGAAACTGTACTCATTATTTAATACACGAAAGACTAGTTACGTACGTATATGAGTATAATTAAAAAGGGTCAGAGTTTCAGAAGTCATATTAAAATAAGTACCTAATCGCATTAATTATAATATGACTTTTTTGAAGGATGTTTTTAAAATGGGGTTTAGTTTTATTTATAGATACCAATTGTTCCAGTCAGAGAGATATATTTAAGGCACTAACGTCCATACAATCTTAGGTCTATCACACAATTAATTATAACGTAATTCAAATGGTCAGCGAAGAAGATCAAGAAAATCACTAGGTGTATAATCAAATTGTGTAACCTAGGTGTTATACCTTTATATAGTCCGTCAGTTTTTGTTCACACTATTTATTAATCAGTGAAGATACCTTCCTTTTCATCGTCAGCTACAGCTAGAATTTCGCATTTCTATAGGTAATAGGAAAATTCGAGAAGCTATAGAGATCCACAAACACTCCAATAACATTCCAATAACATAAACAAAGATACTGGTTTCCCTCTCTCCTCTATTTGGAAAACGGTCATCCCCACCAGTCCGGCACGCCCTCTCCCACTCCACACCCATTCTGTATAAATAGTCCCCGCATAACCTTTCTGCTCAGAAGAGATTTAAATTTGGTTTCTCTTTCTTCATTTCCTGAAAATGCCTTGTACGAAAGTGGATGAAGAGTTGAAACCTTTCTTAAATTTCACAGAGTTCAAACCCGAAAAACTGCTTTATATCAATGACTGGCCCCAAAAACCTCCCAACATGCCTACAATAACCTTCAAATGTTTGCAATTTCTGAGCAATCTTGCAGATTCTAATTTAAACATTGTAAAATGTTGTAATAGGTAAGAAATAAAGGCGGATTCATAAACTACAGGTATTAAAATATAATATTTTATAAAATTTAAATTTTAAGATGGCGTCACAAATAAAAATTGTTCAATGATCTACACGGCATTCCTAAAATATATAACATACACAACAATCAGTCCAGCAGTTTCTCAGATTCTACACCTAACCTAATGCCAGACACAAGACAGACAGACGAAAATGGAGGATCTACTTTTCATATTCTATGGGTAATAAAACGTCGAGAAAACATGAAATCGGCTTAGCTTGGAAAGTAAAAATAATTTCTGGCCTTGTACTTACTGATTATATAGAACTTTGTACATAATTGATACGGAGTCTATGAATTTTTATTTAATTCAAACTTGAAGGTTTGACATTCTTTGCTTTTTCGAACAAATAGGCGAGAATTATATCCTCATTGAGGCCTCTGGTCTTTTTCTGACTTCTTGAGTTTCGTGATTTTTCTGGAGTCAAATTGTTGGTCTCCCCTTCAGCTGCTTCAGCAACATCGTTCGGAACAAACATATCTACTTCTGAAACTGCTTCCAAGTGCATTTCAGTGCACCCAAAAATCTCAATTGACAATTTTTTGCAAACAAACAATGTTCCTATCAAAATGAGCGAATCTGTCTCTAAGGTCCAGTTCCGTTAGGTTCTTCTCAGTTGCTTTCAATTTTTGTCAAATTCTTTTCGAAATGAAGAAGGACCGCATGCCGTCGGTGTTGAAAAAATAGTAGATGCACCGCAGGATTAAACTGTCTTTTATTCCCCCCCAGGGATATTAAATCATCCCTTCAAAGGAATAAAAAACTAGTTTAACCCCTTTTTTTAAATTTTTCTATAGTTTTCGCTTTGCCACACTGGAAGTTAAACAGAATGGCGAAAGCTAAAGCATTATTTGTGAAAAATAAAAGCTTGTTATTATCAATATTATTACTGTTGTCATTCAAAAACAACTAGAAGCAACCAAAAGTTTTAATTACCTTCCATGTTTCATTCACGGTGGGAGTTGGAATGTGAAAAACTAAGTTTACGATATTTAAGTTTACTATATTTATTGTTTATGGAATTCCAAGGACGCATTTACAAGTTTTTTAATTATTGGTAGTTCTAACGCCAGGTTGTAGACATCAATTTGAATGAACAGGTTACTAAACGTATTTCCATAAAAAAAATTACTTGTTTGAGGAAGAGTGATTTTTGTGGGGTATGTAAAACCCAGTGGTTGCAAGTAATTCAATTACAAGTAATTTAACTCCTTTTCAAGTAATGAGTAACTGTATGCATTACTTTTCAAAAAATGTAATGACAATGACTGAATGTAACGAATTATATATATTTTTTTTGAGTAATTCAGTCCCTTTTACAATTACTTTTTGCAATTACTTTAAACCCAAATACTGTATACGTCCGCTTGTAATAAAATTCACATCGTTGAAATAAGCGTAAAAACCCTACACAGACTGCTTTTCCGTGTTGAAATTTTGTTGTCAACAAAAAACTACAACGCGTTAAAATTGTGATGAGTATGAGATTATCTGGTTTTCACTATTTATGGATCAATTTTATATTTTCAAAAGGGTGCATTGGTAGAAATTGTATTAAAAAGTCAGTTGCGTATCACAGAAATAAAATATATTGATAAATAATTGAGTAAACAGAAACAGAATATTTAAAATTTGTGGTCAAACAAACTTTAGCCATTTTTCTGGACCACTCAAATCTATAACAGGTAACTGATACAGCCCGTCCTTTAAAACCCCTCATAATCTGACAATAAAATTTTATGAAAGTGTCCACCCTCTAAGGTTTTTTAAATTTAATCCGTAAGTCACAACGCCAAGCCAGAGGCAATTAAAGACAAACTTTTAAGTTTACATTATCTTGTAGGCCCCTTCTAAGTATTGTTACGAAATACACCCTTACGCCGCCCCAGTACGACGCCTATGGCGGTCGAGAGCCTTCTGGACGTACGCACGGCGCTGATGGGTGAATCATCGCTGTTGACGGCCGAGAGGCGGGCGCATAAAGACAGGTCTGGAGCGTCTCGAAGCGGCGTCCAGGGGAGTCTCGAAGCGGAGTCGCGATGGATGTTCGTGAAGGATCTCGATCAGAGACTATGGGTTTAAATAGAGGCGACCGTAGGTAATGGATATTCATCCAGTGAAGACAGTCGAGAGCGCCGGAATAATTTCTGTACATATTCGTCGCAATAGATAGTGTTGTAATTCGACCTGAAGAAATAAATTTTTTTTTGAGTTTTACCAACACCCGATTTATTATTCGCCCGTCAATCGTAACACTGGTGTCAGAAGTGGGATTAACTGTGAAATAAATCGGGATTCGAATTTGGTTGGTGCTACTAGGGGAGACCGGAACAAAGTGAACTTTCGAGAAAATTCTCTCCCGCGGTAAGAGTGGAATAACGGAATTAGACTTTCATCACCTGACATTGGCTTCGAGAATTGACATCTGTCAAGGCTCTAGAAGTTTCTAGAAGAAAATTTTATGCCGACTACCACAAGAGCGCAAACAGCCAACATGGAGGAACAACTGACAAAAATGATGAAAATGTTGAGCGAAAATCAAAGAATAATGGAAGAAAGTAGAAAAGAAGATCGAAGAATAATGGAAGAAAATAGAAAAGAAGATCGCAGAATAATGGAAGAAAATCAAAGAATAATGGAAGAAAATTTAAAAGCTATGCAAACTACACTTTTGAACAGCCGAAGCGAAATCCTCCAAGTCGTGCGAAATGAAGTGGACGAGGTGAGAAATGAAATGGAAAACAAGATCAAGGAGCTCGAAGAAAGGTTGCAAACACCACGACCTACAATTGCGACCC